AAGTAAGGAAAGCCACCTTCCCCCTACCCATCTCCCACAGACATAGCTTTTCAATTTAAGTGTACTTCATACAAGTTCTAGGTGTTTTGGCTCTTCGGTAAGAAATCAATATGCAGTTAACCTATCTTATTCTTATGTGCCTTATTTTTAAAAAATAGTTTCTTAATTACCAAGTAGCATACAGAAGTAACACCAGGTTGTTAAAAATGTACCACAACTCTGTGAAGATAAAATGCAATTTTCTTCTTTGGTAGACACAGGTTTTCAGATCTTCATTTAATTTGCTAGAAAAAATAAGTTATTTAATAGATCAATACATTTAAAGTCTTCTCCCCTTCATACTCAGCTGTCTGGCACTAGAAACAATAGAAGGCTCTTTTATTAAAATTAAGAGGCATTTACCTTTGTGTACCTGAAAATGGAGTGGTTGCTATACCATTCAGAAAAAAAGTCACATTATAAATATCCTCTTTCAAGAGTTTTTTCCAGCTTACCAGGCTCTTCAAAAGGAATAAGTCTAAAGTAGAATTACTATTAACGAGGAGGATTCATCCAAACTGTTGGAAGTTAAGTTTTGTTAACATTAGAAACGTTTAAACATGCTAAATGCTCACAAGACTGAGATACACACACCGTTGAAAATTTTTACAAACTGGAGAACCAAGATGGAGTTGTAGTTAAACTTGGAATTAACTGCCTCCCACAACCACATCAAAATTACAACTAAAATACAGAATAACTTTCATCACCTAAAATCTGGCTGAATGAAAGTCCTACAACTAGAGAAGTAAAAAAGAAAGCACATCGAGACTGATAGGTGGGGGCATTGGACAGGCTGGCCCTGCACCCACATGTGGCATTTTTTAATTGGGAGGGATATCTTGGCTGCAAAGGCCTCCCGTGAAGAGAAGTCCCTGGTTTTGGGTGCTATAAAAACCAACAGGGATTGTGGCTGAGTGATGTGGAGGCTGCTGGAGACCAGGCACTTCCTCTTAAAGGGCTTGCACATGGACTTACTTGGATTCACTCCCTCTGAGCTCCAGTGCTGGAGCAGTGGCTTGTGGGGGATCCAGGATCATATGAGGAGAAACTGGACTGACATCGGAGCAATAATTCAGGGGCAGCTTTCTCCCAGGCAAGGTTGCTCGCAGGGGTCATTATTCATATGCTGAGATCTCCCCCATCACTGAGCCCACTGGCAGATGCCATATCTGAATCTCCATTATGGCTCACACTGTTCGGACCACCCTGGTGATTCCCTGAAACCCTGCCTAACCCAAGCTGTTTGCAGCTGCTTTTCCATATGAATGGCCTGTCCTGGCTAAGGCTTCAGACTCTCCTAAAATCAAGTAAGTAGCAGCTGGACTCAGTGTACCCCATACCTCTCAACAAGTGGCCATAGGTCTGGCACTAGCAGCAGCCTGCCTTGGTTCACAATTTGGCCTCCTGGGCACCTTCAAGCCCAATACAAGTAGCAGCCATTGCAGATCACTCTGTAGCTTGTGCCAGGTGGCCATAGGCAGAGCATAGGCAGTGGCTGACTTTGCACCTCCCAGGAGGCCCCAGAGCCAGTGGACAGCTTCAGACCACACCAGATTACAACTTTACCACATCCACAAGTGACACACTCAAGGGGCAGAGTCGGTGAGTACCAAAGCCCACTAAAGCAAGTCCTGATCCACAGGGGTGTCTCCTGCACAGCAGCTCTTCCACTGTAGTCACAGGTGATCCTCACAGCCAATCAGCCTAGGGATCAATTCCTCCCAGTGATGCTAACAGCAATCAAGGCTCAACTACAAGACAGTGCACCTAGAATGCCCAGATTGGGTAACGGGAGGCTGGGCCCTACAGGACACCTACTGCGCAAGGCAACTTTACCAATTCCAGGAGACATAGCAGCTCTACCTAATATGTAGAAACAAACAGAAGCAGCCAAAATGTGGAGACAGACACGTCACAAATGAAAGAATAGAAATCTTCAGAAAAAGAAGTGAAAAGCAAGCAAACTACTAGATACAGAGTTCAAAACAATAGTTATAAGGATGCTTAAGGATCTTAATGAGAACTTCAAGGGACTTAGTGAGAACATAAAAGACATGAAAAAGGACCAGTCAGAAATTAAGCATACACTAACTGAAATGAATAATTTACAGGGAATCAATATTAGAGGATACCAAAAATCAAATCAGTGATTTGGAATATCAGGAAGCAAAAATCACCCAATCACAAGAGTAAAAAGAAAATAATCAAAAAATATGAAGGGAGTGTAAGGAGCCTCTGGGATAACTTCAAGGGTACCAACATTTGCATTATGGGGGTGCCAGAAAGAGAAGAGAGAGAGCAAGGTACTGAAAACCTATTTGAAGAAATGACAGAAAGAAATACACTTACAATTCCAGGAAACAGTCCTAAACAAGACGAACTCAAAGAGGCCCACACCAATACATCATAATTAAAATGCCAAGGGTTAAAGAGAATCTGAAAAGCATTTACCTACAAGGAAGCACCCATACCACTGTCAGCTGATTTCTCAACAGAAACTTTGCAGGCCAGAAGGGAGTGGCAAGAAATATTCTAAGTGATGAATAGCAAGGTCCTATAACCAAGATTACTCAGCAAAGCTATCATTGAGAATTCAAAGTCACATTAAGAGCTTCACAGACAAGAAAAAGCTAAACAAGTTCATCACCAAATCAGTATTACATGAATGTTGGAGGGTATTCTTTAAGAAGAACAATAAAAAATATGAACAAAATGGCAATAAATACATATCTACAACAATAGAATCTAAAAATCAAGGAATCTAATGAACAAAATAAACTGATGAATAAAATAGAACCAGAGGCACAGAACAGACTGATGAATTTTGGGGGGAAATGGGGATGCAGGAAGAGATTAACATAAGAACTTAAATGCACACATGCATTACCTATAGACAGAACTGGGTGGAGTAGGGAAAGGGGGACATCTGTAAAATTCTCAACAAATTTTTTCCCCCAAAGACAAATAGCCACTCAATGGCTTTATGTGCCCACACAATCGTAGTTATTGAACATACATGTTATAGCTGTAAGGAAGTTATATTAAAAAGTCTTCTAGCCGAAACCGGTTTGGTTCAGTGGATAGAGCATCGGCCTGCGGACTGAAAGGTCCCAGGTTCGATTCCGGTCAAGGGCATGTACCTGGGTTGCAGGCACATCCCCAGTAGGAGATGTGCAGGAGGCAGCTGATTGATGTTTCTAACTATCTCTCTCCCTTCCTCTCTGTAAAAAATCAATAAAATATATTAAAAAAAAAAAAAGTCTTCTAAACAGACATGTAAAACGATTCCACCACAATGGTAAAATCATGTCCCAGTCCACAGAAGAGGGAATAATCTTTTTTTCTTTTTTAATCCTTACCCAAGGATATTTTTTCCAATGTGAGAGAGACACATCGATCAGTTGCCTTCTGCACATGGACCAGGGCCTGGACCTGGGAGGAGCCTGCAACCAAGGTACATGTCCTTGACCAGAATCAAACTTAGGACCCTTTGATCCACAGGCTGATGCTCTGTCCTCTGAGCCAAACCTGCTAGGGCCTGGTTTCCTTTTATATGTAGTGTTACTACTTAATAATAATGAGTATGGAAAACTAGATTAAAATTTAGCATCACTTACTCTGGCCTGTGTGCCCAGCCAGAGCACCGAAAGGTTGCAGGTTCAATTCCCAGTCCCTATCAGGGCACTTGTGGGAGGCAATCAATCAATGTGTCTCTCACATTGATTTTTCTCCTTCTTCCCCCTTCCCTTCCTACTCTCTCTGAAAAGCAATGGGAAAAATATCTCTGGGTGAGGATTAACAGCATCAAACAACAATAAAAAACATTAAGATTTAGCATCTCTTAATTTTACAATCTGTTTTAAATTCCAGTTCTACTAAATACTGGCCTGTTCTTTTATACAAGTTACTCAACTTACATTTGCCTTAGTTTCCTCATTTGTGTGAAGGATATGATAATCCCTTCATATAAGATTAAAAGGAATCATATGGATCATCGAATTGATTACCTTTCCTAGTATAGAACCTAAACACAGTCTTAAATTTGAAATTATATGACAGGTTATCTAATCTGTGATTAAAATGTATATTACCTTACAGATAATCTAAGGTATTTAAAAATGGAGTAGCATGTCTTGGACCTAGGGAAAAAAATCAAGAGTGGTGTGTGTTTTCTTCCTTTACTCAAAAGTGCCTTCCTTATATCTACTCACAGACAACAAAACATATCAGGACCAATATTAGTGTGTCTGTCGTGTACTATGAATAGGACACGGGAGAGAGCAAATCACATTCAGCCAGAGAATCATCATGACTGAACAGCCTCATTTAGGGACAGCAGCTCAAGATCAACCCCAACTGTCTTCCCCTTCCTCCTCCCCCCCTCCCACCACCAATGCACATAGGCGCACATGCACAACCTTGCATCCAGCAGTAAGCTTCATGTTTACAGCAGGAAAATATCAGTGTCACCACCTATCCTATCTAATAATAGACAGACATGGTAATTGACCGTACCTTCGGTACACTTCCCATTGGCTAATCAGTGAAATATGCAAATTAACCGCCAACAAAGATGGCAGTTAATTTGCATATGTAGGGGGGAATCGGTAGAGTGAAGACTAAAGGCAGCTCCGGCTGGAGCAGCAATCAAAGTGGGTCCGGCCGGAGCAGCGAGGGCTTTGAATGCGGCTCCGGCCAGAGTAGCGAAGGCTTTGAAGGTGGCTCCAGCTGGAGCAGCAATCAAAGTGGGTCCGGCCAGAGCAGCGAAGGCTTTGAAGGTGGCTCTGGCCAGAGCGAAGGCCTGGGTCCCGGGTGGCGAAGGAAAACCGGTGCAGGCAGCCAGGGGAAGGGAAGGCCTATTGCATGAATCTTTTCATGCAACAGGCCTCTAGTACTTTTATAAGGGCACAGGGATAGGAGAGGCCCTGTTCTCTACCACTTGGCCCATGGAACATACCTTACACTTTGGTACATATTGTTTTATGTACTTTGTGAAATACAGTAGGCAGGCAGTGTCTACTGACTGTGAAGTGCAACTGGCGCAGCTGAAGCTTTTGACTCTTATCACGGTGGCCGAAAGTATAGGGGGAAGGTAGCTGGACTAGTATGTCAACACCGTCACTCTAAGGGCAACACAAACAGCTATTTCTGCTCCTTGGGCCGCCTTCAGTTCTGCAGCGGCGCTTACATCCAGGTGGTAAAGTGGGAAGGGTAGAATGCTGAGGCCTCAACAACTATCATTCACTATGGTCCCTGGATCAAGCTATAACTTTTACCAAAAGCAGGTTTGAGGTGGATATAGTTAAACTTTAGTGCTGCTCAACGTTACACGTGGGGAAAATGGATACCCAGTTTTTCTACTGGACACACTAAACAAATATCAGTGTTAGCCCATGAATAATCATGTCTGCTTAAAAGGATTTTCATACTCCAAGTTCATTTTCTTTGTTCTAAAAGGGGATTGAGGGTTTTTAGGTCCCTGCATCACTTACCTGTAGGGCCCGACCTTTGGTCTCAATGGGGAGAGTAAATGCTGAAATGGCACACACAACACAGACGGATGAGAAAAGACACAGGGCCCCCAACAATGATGCGCTCATCAGAACCTGCAAGTCACAAAGAATGAATTTATTGTGCCTCAGTCATTTCTAAACTGACACTTACGTCAAAGGGGATTCACCAAACATATAAATGAATGTCCTTTATAGCCGTTCTCTGTGTTGTGCTTTTGTGGGATTCCTCCATGAACTGTGACAGGTAATATGCATTGGCCAGCTTAGACTTGCCTCTGCACCCACTCTCAGGCAGAGACAAGTCTAAGTTTGCTCAGGCATTTCCAGAGCAAACCAGGATTCCGCCCCCTCTCGCATACCAATGCAGCTTGCTTAACTCCTAACCCTCTCATCCATGCCGTGGACCCCCTCTGCCAAACATCCATTTTCCCTCTCCAATTCTGACAGGATGAACCAGGAGAAAGTTTTTTTGTTTGTTTTAGAAGAAAGATAAGATAATCTCAGGGTCTCTCTGAAAACATAACGTATCTTGTCCATTATGCTTCACTGCATGTATGACAAAACCATATGGTGACCATTTTCCCACAGTAAGAATGGATTTCTGTCACTCTACATACATCCTTTGGCCTGGATCCTCACCCTAGTAATGGCGAGCAGGTTCATACACTCCATCTCATATGTCAGTTTCTGCAGGACTGTGCCCCCAAGTTAGCAAACAGCCGGGCACCTGGCAGTTGTCAACTACTCTCACAAAAATGATCTGAAGCCACAGGAGCAGCAAGGCTCTGGTGTCACAGAAAATTGCAATTTGGAGAGGCCTAGAAACTATCTGTTCTAGTCCAACCTCACGGCATTACTGATGAGCCTAGAGTCAGAGCTAAGTGACCCCTTGTCCAAAGTCACATACAGACTCCTGACACATAGCATAATGCTCTTATCACCACTTATGTCCTCCCGAGATACGCAGTTTGAGAACCTGTCCTTTGCATAGGCCTGTGGCCTTCTAGAACAGTAAATAATCGCATTTGGCATGTGATAGAACCCATGATATTAGCCTCAATATCTTGTAGTTGGCCTAGGTATCATTGCTGATTTTTATTTCCCAAAATAAAGTACATACAATTTTCCCAAAATAGGAGTTGTATAAGTGTGTGTGTGTGTGTGTCCCCCCATCTATAAGGCAGGGAAACTGGGCTCAGAAAAAGGAAAAGATGCAGAAACCAAGAGACTGGGCAGCCTGAATCATGACCAAACCATATGATAGTTAGGCATGTGTCTAAATTCTATCACTGCTGTCCCTTTTATTATTGGACATCAAAATTCTTATACCCACAAAATGAACTTTAAACTCTCCCACCTCATATCCTTTGCACCAGATTCAAAGTCCTAGGTGGTGTGACACCCTGATGGGTCCATTGAGTTTAGCTCATAAACTGCTCAACCAGCTGGGATCAGGGACAACAACTGCTTTGTCTTCTTGGTTTCCCTTGAGGGCCACAAGGCTCTGCTTCTGGCAGGACTCGAGCAGGCCAGTGGATGCTACTGGATAGTCTCCCAATGAGTTCCTTTCTAAGTTAACCAGAGTCAATTTCTATTGTCTGCAAGAATTCTGAGTAATACCTGCTTTAAAAAAATCATCTGGGAAGTTTGTTATAATGCAGGTTTCGGCCCCCACTCCAAATTCACTGGATCAAAAAGAAAGACCTGCTAATCTCTACTTCTAAAAGTCAGCTCAGACCAGTGACAAAGAGGACATCTATACTAATAAAGGACAAAGATGCTAATTGACCATACATTTGCTATGCCCTAAGCCACGCCCACCAGCCAATCAGAGCGACTATATGCAAATTAACCCAACCAAGATGGCAGCCGGCAGCCACAGAGCTGGAGCAAGCAGGAGGCTTGGTTGTCCAGGCTATGAAGGAAGCCAAGCTTCCTGCCTGTCCTGAGCCGGCTGTGGCCTCCACTCATGGCAACAAAGTTTCAATTATAGAAGACAAATAAATCCCAGATACCTGTTTCCAGCCAGCCTCCACTGGGAGCTTGGGTGGCTGGGGGTTGTGGCCAGCCTGAAAACAGCCATCAGCCCCTCACCCAGGCTGGCCACACCCTCATGGGGTGAGGGTCCCCACTGGGGGGCTTAGCCAGCCTGAAAACAGCCCTCAGCCCCTCACCCAGACTGGCCAGGCACCCCAGCAGGACCCTCACCCTGAAGGGGCTGTGGCCAGCCTGCAAATAGCCATCAGCCCCTCACCCAGGCTGGCCAGGCACCCCAGGGGGCACCCCCACCCTGAAGGGGCTGTGGCCAGCCTTCAAACAGCCATCAGCCCCTCACCCAGGCTTACCAGGCACCCCAGGGGGACCCCGCACCCTGAAGGGGCTGTGGCCAGCCTGCAAACAGCCATCAGCCCCTCACCCAGGCTGGCCAGGCACTCCTATATAATAAAAGGGTAATATGCAAATTGACCCTAACAGTGGAATGACTGGTCACTATGACACACACTGACCACCAGGGGGCAGATGCTCAATGTAGGAGCTGCCCCCTGGTGGTCAGTGTGCTCCCACAGGGGGAGCTCTCCTCAGCCACAAGCCAGGCTGACAGCTGCCAGTACAGTGGTGGTGGTGGGAGCCTCTCCCGCCTCCTCAGTAGCGCTAAGGATGTCCAACTGCAGCTTAGGCCTGCTCCCCACTGGCAAGTGGACATCTCCCAAGGGCTCCCGGGCTGCCAGAGAGATGTCTGACTGCCAGCTTAGGCCCAATCCCCCCAGGGAGCGGGCCTAAGCCAGCAGGTGGTCATCCCCCAAGGGGTCCCAGACTGTGAGAGGGCACAGGCCGGGCTGAGGGACCCCCACGAGTGCACAAATTTTTGTGCACCGGGCCTCTAGTTACCTAATAAAAGTTTCAGTCCAACAAGACAACAATCAAAGATTTATACACGAAACAGCCTCAAAATGCATCCAGTAGCCCAGTAGCCCTAGCTGGTTTGGCTCAGTGGATAGAGCATTGGCCTGTGGACTGACGGGTCTCGGGTTTGATTCTGGTCAAGAGCACATGCCCAATCCTAGCTGCTTTGACTCAGTGGATAGAACAATGGACTCCGGACTGGAAAGTCCTGGGCTCAATTCTGATCAAGGGCACACGCTCGGGTTGTGGGTTCAATCCCTAGTGGGGGCCATGCAGGACACAGCTGATCCATGATACTCTCATCATTGATGTTTCTATCTCTCCCTCTCCCTTCCTCTCTGAAATCAATAAAAATATATATTTATATTTTTAAATGCATCTAGTAAAAACTGAAAGGAGAAAAAGATAAATCCACATGCAGTTGGAGACTTCAGTGCCTTTCTCTCAGCATTTGATAAAACTAATACAAAATAAGCAGGGATATTAAAAACAAACAAAAACACAAGATGACACTTCAGCTACCAGAATTTGATTGGAATAGAACACACAGCAATAGCAGAAGATACATTCTTTTCTAGCCCGTGGAGCACGCACCAAGACAGACCATATGCTGGGCCATAAAATAAACCTCAAGAGATTTTAAAGAATTAAAATTATAGAATGGGTCCTCTGACTAAAATGGTATTAAGCTACAAATAAAGATAACAGCAAAACTTCCAAAAACGTTTAAACTGTGGGTCAAGGAAGTCTCAAAAATAAAAATAAAAAATACACTGAATGTGATGAAAATACAACAATATTAAGTTTGTGGGACACAGCTAAAGGGAACAAAAAATACTTAGGAATAAATTTAAGAAATAGGCCTAACTGGATTGGCTCAGTGGATAGAGCATCGGCCTGTGGACTGAAAGGTCCCAAGTTCCATTCTGGTCAAGGGCATGTACCTTGGTTGCCCGCACATCCCCAGTAAGAGGTGTGCAGGAGGCAGCTGATCAATGTTTCTCTCTCATTGATGTTTCTAACTATCTCCCTTCCTCGCAGTAAAAAATCAATAAAATATATTTTAAAAAAAGAAATGTATGACATGAAAATTATAACAAGGGCATGAACATTTGAATAAATCTAATTCTTGGATAAACAGTATTTTTTTATTTTATTTTATTTTTTTAATATATTTTATTAATTTTTTACAGAGAGGAAGGGAGAGGGATAGAGAGTTAGAAACATTGATGAGAGAGAAACATCAATCAGCTGCCTCCTGCACACCCCCTACTGGGGATGTGCCCGCAACCAAGGTACATGCCCTTGACTGGAATCGAACCTGGGACCCTTCAGTCCACAGGCCGATGCTCTATCCACTGAGCCAAACCAGTTAGGGCTATTTTTTTATTTTATAACATAATTCTCACCAAAAGTAATCTAACACTGCCCGGCTGGTATAGCTCAGCAGTTGAGCATCAAGCCAGGAACCAAGAGGCCACTGGTTCAATTCCCAGTCAGGGCACATGCCCCGGTTGCGGGCTCAATCCCCTGTGGAGGGTGTGCAGGAGGCAGCCAATCAATGATGTTCCTCTCTCATCATGGATGTTTCTATCTCTCTATCACTCTCTCTTCCACTGTCTCTAAAAATAAATAAATAAATAAATAACATATTTTTTTAAAAAAACAAAGTAATTAACGCTAATGGATTTTCAATCAAAATCCCACTAGGATTTTTAAAAATCAATTTTGGGGAAAAATTGTTTCTGTAATTAATTTGAAAGAAAAAATGTGTAAACATGTCTGGGATATAGGAGAGTCTGAGGGAGGTTTTTAGCCTAAGAGGCATTAAACAAGGTTTCAGACATTAGCAGTGTGATTGATGCTAGAATAGATCCAAGAACCTATGGAAATTTGGTTTATTATAATAGTAAGTCAACTGAGATGAGCCAAAACACAAGGATGATTAATGGCCTGGGAACAACCAGCTATGCTAGGCACTGTTTTGTTGCTTTTTAAAGCTGGATCCTAATTTCAGGCCTTAAGCATAAATTGACTTTCAGTGTTTTAGAAATATGGATAAGCAAGTGATGAAGGCCATTAAGCATGACACAAAAAATTAACTCAAATGAAAATAGTTGGTAAAAAAATATTTTAAATTTTGCATCCCCAAAAAATACAAAGATCCAAAAGTAAACCGCAAACAATAA